TTTATTATTATAAAACACTTCCAACCATCTTATTATAAGTCATTAAATTTGTTTGAAAATACAAAAAAATTCAAATTTACTCATATTCAAAATTATTACATAAAATTTGAGTATAGGAAACATTAAAAAAAATTTAATTAATATTTTGTCTAGGGACTTCTAGGAAAGGCCACTCAATGATATGTTTTAGCTGTTAGTGAATGCAAGTACAAAAAATATGGATTTGGTGTGAAATGTCTATCGTCTAAATATATTTAACTTCAGTTTAGAGTTAACATTTTTAATTTATGATTTTTAAATAAAAATCATTTATGACTAAATCATAAGTAGAAGAAGATTTTTATTTTAATTAAGATTTTCACCTATTAATTAAGATATTAAACTATTAAAAATATAAATATTATATTATATTAAATTTGGGCCATCCAATTTCAATTTGGACGGAAAAAGACTAAATCCAAAACAAATATATATAGCCATGCTAATTACTAATTCAGTTTGTGTGCTTTATTATATGTGTTTGACAGCTCTAACCACAAAATTAAAAGAAGCAAGAAGAGTGAGAGAAAACTGAGACAAAACTCATTTTACATGCTTATATTGTACATCATAAAAATATTTTTGAAAAGCTAATGCCTAATCCAAACATCCTCAAAAAAGTTTTATCTTGAATTACATGAAAGTACCTCTAAAAAATTGAAACAAACACCCATTTTGTTGGATTCCGATGACGTTTTCAGAGATTGTAGAGCTTGTTTAGAAGAGTGATTGAAGTTTTTAAAAGTAGTATTTCAATCATAATTTATTAAATATGAGATAAGTATATGAAAAAAGTTTGCAGATGATGAAATCGAATGTACGGGAAAATATAATGAGAGAGAATATGGCAAATGATAGAAAATGACAAATCAAGGGCAATATTAGAAAAATGTATTAAATTCTAAGACAAATTTGAATTGAAGATTATAAAATGAATCACAACTCTCTTCAAATTTGAAGCTTATGAATAGAATTGAAGAGAATAGAAGCTAAAAGAATATATGAAAGGAAAATTAAATTCATAATTCATTCAAATTGGAATCACTTAAATAAGTACTTATAAATATGTTTGATATACGCTAAGGCAAAATTCCTCTCATATATTTACCTCATATTCTATAAATTAAAGTAACTTATAAATCATTCCAAACACAGTGAAGATTTTAGTGCTCATCACAATGATAATTGATGAGTATTCACTATGGTAAAAGGAAAATCACTACAATATAAGTAGTCCAAACATAATTTCAGTAATCTAGCTAGTTTTAAAAATGTAACTGATCATTTTTAAATAAAAATCATTTTTGATAGAAGGATTATTAAAATAGAAAAATAGTTACGTCAAGTTTCTTATATTCATCAAATTAAATTCTTCAACTACACATAATCACGTGTCTTATTTTTTTATGTGAATATATAATTAAATTCTATTAAATGCTAATATTTAGAATAGAGGACACATGGCCATATGTGATGACCATTAAAATATTATTTTTATTTTAAATTCTGCCTCTATTAAATTAAAATATTATACAATTAAAAATATAAATATAAAACTATATTAAATTTAGACAATTTAGGGGGCATTTGGATTCATACAAAAGTGCTTTTCAAAAGCACTTTTCTACAAATTGAAACAAATTTCTCACATATTTACTTTGTATATGGTAAAATTACTTCTAAAATTATGGTTTGGTTTCCATCCAAATATCCCCTTAATTTTGATTTGGACGTTTAAGATTTATTTGATGGGAAAAACTGGATCCAAAACAAATACACTCACACTGATTACACATCATAAAATGTAGCATCCGTATATTTATTTTAACAAAAATTTTAGGTATGAATTCAGGCTCAATCCCAACCAAAAATAAAGTTCTTGAACTCTCCTCCCACATGATATTAATATTGGGAAGGGCTATAGCATCCGTGTTTAACAAGGGGTTAAATGGCATTTTTGCCCAAGTTTTCGCAAAAGAGCTATGGGAATACTAAATTTTTTTCTTTTTGGAGCAATGTCATGCGGGAAGTAGTTAAGTAGTAAAATTGTAGCAATGTCACCCAAATTTAACAACCCTAACCGTCAAATGTTAGTTTGACCCACTTTTGCTAAGCCAGTTCTGCCATGCAGGATAGTATGACACATATTATTCCAGATACTTTGCCACATCATCATCATCTTTCTTGAAACACCGCCAACATGATCATTATCCTCGTCAGACTTAGTAATTCCCTATATCCAGTCTATGAACTTCTTTAAAGGTGTGCTCAGACAACCAAGAGTTTGTTAATGAAGCACAATACCCAGATCAAAAACTCTAGTCCATCAAGTTCTAAGCATTCTTCCCTCCTCGTTCTGAATCTCTGAATTATGTTGTTGTAAAAGAAACAAAAATCGTTTATCTGAAAAGAAAGATGATAGTTCAAGTTGTTTCACCTGAAGCATCTAAATGTGGTAATAAACTTATTCAACAGAAAGATAAATGGATCAGGTAGAGCAGAACAGGGAAAAATAAGAGAATGCTGTTAAAACTATTAAATAGTTGGCTATGGAAAATGCCACATGTTAAATTCATAATCATCTCAATGGTCGGTGATTCTGGGTGTCTTTTTCTTTTTTGGGTTTGGTAAAGGTGGTGATGATGATTTTGATCTGCTTCATCCCTTGAAATCAACACAATCCTTTCAATTACTAAGAAAAAATACCCAAAAGTGGCAAGCACTAGACCCAGATCAACAATGAACCATCTGTATCGGAGCAAGTTCCCTTTCCATTGAGACTGAATCACCAAGGTCAGACCCAATCATAGCGAGCGATAAACCCAGAGCCACGCAAATCTACCATCGTTTCTAAGGTCATCTCTATAATACCCAAGATCTGGTCTTCAACTTTGACACAGGACCAATGACGATGTCGAAGAGCATAGTCCTAAGAGCTCAATCGGAGCGGGACTGATGCGGCGCATAGAGGACATGAAAATTCTTTGCCACGGAATCTAAATCCCTCTTGATTTCCTAACTCTCCCCCCTTCTTTGATTTTGTCGTCTTCTACTTCTCTTTGTGATTCGATCTTCGTTAAACCCCAGGTGACCGGAGTTGATGGTGCGAGCGAGGCAGAGGCAGTTTCCGATAATGCAGACGGAGGAGCTAAGGCAGACAGGATGACACTGTACATCTTGAGACAGTTGAAGGGCTTTTTCAGATGATGAGGTAGCAATGAGATGGCTTATTAAATGTCACATCACCTGCTAATGTGACATTTTAGAGGCGAACTTCCTCAGTTAACGGTTAACATTAGGATTCCGTGTAAATAGGTTGACATTGTTACGATTTTATCACTTGCTTGATGATATTGCTCCAAAAAATTTCTAAATACTATAGCTTTTTGTGAAAACTTCGCAGACAAAAATGACTTTTAACCCTTTAACAAGTGATGATGCCGGCTCAATTCATGGTCATTAACCTAGGCAGTTCAATTTGATATTATTTTATTTTAGATTTTTTAAAAACATTTTGTTTTAACATATGCAATATAAATTATAAGAAAATCATTTAACTATCATATCACTTTATCAAAAAATTATTTTTTTCAAAAAAAATTGTCAATTAATTAAACGACTTATTAGATCTTATCTCAACAATAAAGCACGGATCTGAATAATGAACATCCAAACCAAACTCCGTCTCGTGGGTCAGCACATGGTCCATGCGCTCCAGATGTACTCTGGTCTCTGGCCGTGGGGAAAGAGACTTGGGGAGAGAGAGATTAATTGGAGGTATTTGGATGGAGATATATAAAGAAATTTATTTTAATGTGTAAAAAAGTATTTTTAAAAAATATTTTTGAGGCAAATCTAAACGCTCACATATGGGGTGTTTTAACTATTACACTTCATCTCTGCGGTTCCCTTTATTATGGGGTATTTGAATATTCTTTAAAGTACTTTTTCATAAATTATGACAAGTTATTTTGCATATTGATTCTGTAGACTGTAAAATCACTTTTAAAATCATGATTTAGTTTTTATTTAAATATTCTTTATATATAAAATACAAAAAAATAATTTCACTATCATATCACTCTTTAAAGGCCAATATAATGACACTCAATGAATCAGCCTTCGCTCAAATGGCCCTCTTAATGAGGAGTTTGGGACATCAAATCCTCGTGTGACTTAAGAGAAGTGTGTGTGTGTTGTGTTTGGGTGTGTCAGCCGGCAGGTGAGTATTCCTTTAGGATAGGTGAGTAAAAAAGAAAAAAAGGAAAAAAAAAAGTGGGGATCTAAGTTGCCCCTTAATTTTGAGTTCTTTCTCAAACATTTTTTTGAGGTTTTTTTTAATTACTCTTCCGATTCTTAATATAAGACCTATTTAATTAATTTGATTAGATTAAAAAAGTTAGATAAGTTAGTTAATTATAAAAAATATGAAATATTTTTTTTCTAAAATACCATAATCATCTTTCTTAATATTGTCTCTTCCTCTTCTACTTGATTATAGCTGAGGGAGTATTTATAAGAGTAATATAGGAAGAATTAATAAATATGAGAAATAGATCTTATATTTAGAATCAAAATCAACTCAATAATTAGGTCTTATATTAAGGACTGAAAAAATGTTAGATTTTATACAAAATGAGTAATATTTTGTTAGATTCGGGAGCAAAACATTGGTACAAAATTAAATTTTAACTCTCAATAATTTAAACCCGTGGACCCGCACACCCACGCCTCCTTCACGCCCAGGAAGGAATCATCTCCACTTCCCCTCACTTCTTTATTCTCACCATTACGTAAAACAACGAAAAAATGGAGTGGAGGCGTGGGGTAGGTAAGCCAAGAGAGAGAAAATTTTCGCTAACTTTCAAAGTCACTGGTTGACTGGCTGTTAAAAATTTCGCTAAATTTCAATGTCACTCATTTGCTGAAAGAAGCAAGAAGAGGGAGAGGGAGGGCAGGCAATCAGCAATGGCTTCCAAAGAGAAAGAAGATGATGAGATCCCAAAAGAAGAGCTCGACGACGACGTAGATTCGTCTGTGCTTTCAGCGTTTCTTCTTCGCAGTGGGCAGATCTTCTCTGCAGCTCTCAACGCCGCCATTGAGCTCAACCTGTTCGACATCATTGCTGAGGAAGGAGGAAGACACGTGTCAGCCTCTGAAGTGGCTTCGAAGCTCCCAGGCTCATCTCAGCACCGGGACTTGGCTTTCAGAATCGATCGTCTCTTGAGGCTTCTTGCCTCTCACTCTCTTCTGAGTTTCAGGGTTCGTGAGAAGGGAGAAGAAGAAGGTGGTGCCCTTGAGAGACTCTATGCCCTTTCTTCCATTGGGAGGCACTTTGTGAGTGGATCCTTGGGATACGTACCAATCTTCTCTCATCCTGCACTCCTACAAGCTTGGCAAGTATTCTTCCGATTCTTAATATGTGATCTAATTATTAAGTTAATTTTGATTCTAAATATAAGATCTATTTTTTGTATTTATCAATTTCTCCTAAATCAATACTTTTTCAACCATAATCAAGTAAGTGAGTGAGGAATGATATTAAAAAAGATGATTATGATGTTTTAAAAAAAATATGTCATATTTCTCATAATTAACTAACTTATCTAATTTTCTTAATCTAGTTAAATTAGTTAACTATATTTTATATTAAGGACCGAGAAATATTCCTTCAGTAGATCTCTTTACCAACTCATTTATTTCGTTTGATTCATATATATGGTTTGTTTGTCTTGAAATCTCTCCGGAATCACTCTAGCTCATATCTAAATAGGGTTTATTTATGAAGGAAATGAAGAGTTATTGCATCTGAAACTGTTCACTTATTCACTTACTTTCGGGTCAATATGATGTTGCTCCTTATACTTTATTCTCATTTAAGATTTTTTTCCCTATAATTTTAAATCATAGGTTTTGATTTTTCAATGAACAAAATGATAAATGTTCTTATTAAAATGTAATGACGAACATTTACACATCGATAACATAGATTAGACTGAACTAGCATAAATTATTCAATATATATATACTTTCTATCTCTCTACTTAACTTTGTTATTGATTTATTTATACTTCAAGTTTAAAATTGCAAAAATTTACTATTACCCAATTTACCTCCTTCGGCTGACCTCCATTATTCTAACATGTTTTGGTCATAATTATAATACATTGATTTTTCTTTTCTTCCACAAATGTGTATAATTAATTATAGGGATAATTTTTAATATAAATGATAAAATTGAAGGGTATTGTAGGGAAATTAATAAATACACCCTCCATTCCTTATTATAAGAGACATTTGATGTTTATGGCATGTTCCCATATATAAGAGACACTTAAAAGTTATCTCTATTTTTTTGTGTTGATTTCCTATTTTACACCTATTTATTTTGTCTCCAACTCATACTCTTTCTCCCTCCCACTTCTCTTTCTTTTAATAATTTAATTGTTCTCTCTCATACTCTCACTCCTTATTAATGGGGGCATTATTGGAAAAAACATTATACTTTTTACATATTAATTGTACTCAACTAATTTTAACTGTTTTTTTATCAACGTAATTTGGTTATTTGTCTCTTATAATAAGGAACAGATGGAGTATTTTTTAACAAATAACTAACTTCACTAAATTTATTAATATCTGTGTGAATTAATGTATGTGCCACTTATATTTAGGACCAAAGCAAATAATTTGACATTGATGCTTGTTCATTGATTCCTTCTTATAATGCTTATGTATATAGGCTTAACTTTAAGGATGCGATAATAGACGAAGATAATGACTTGTTCAAGAAGGTTCATGGAATGCCAATGTACGAATACGCAAAGAGTGATCCAACATGGAACAAAACTTTCAACAAGGCAATGGCCAACTTTTGCAACATAGAGATGGGAAGAATCCTGGAATTATACAAAGGATTTGAGGGAATATCAACACTTGTTGATGTTGGAGGAGGCACCGGTCAAAACCTTAAAATGATTGTCTCTAAGTATCCTTCAATTAAGGGTGTCAATTTTGACTTGCCCCAAGTCATTCAAAATGCACCATCCCTTCCAGGTACGTTAATGAATTTCAATATTCAAGAAAAAGAAAAACATGATTTTTTGTGGAGATGATTTTTTTCATATAGAGATCTATAAAATTTATTTAAAAAAACACTATTTGTAGTTATTATATAACTTTTAAATTAATTTGGCATGAGTTAATCTCTTTCCCTTTTCTCTATGCCCTATTTGTAAGATTGAATTCCTAATTGGCCCTAGAGGAATGTATAATTCCCCAATTTATTTAACATCATCGTCATTATTACTGGTGCTATATGATGAACGAGCTCTGTTTTAATTTTCCTAGAGATGGCTGACTTTTAAGAAAATTTCAAATTTTATGAAGGGATTGAGCATGTTGGAGGAGACATGTTTGAAAGTGTTCCAAAAGGTGATGCCATCATATTAAAGGTTAGTTTCATCTTATATTGAAGCTTCAAGTCTTATTTGTAATTTACGAGTCGTCTTTTTGAATTAAAGCATACTATTAGCCTATTACCCACACCCTCTCTTCCAATCTTACTAATAATAATGCACTTTTAACATACTGCTTCTTATTCTTAATATAAGAGTTAGATAACTAATTTGAAGATTTTTATGAAAATTAGTTAAATTAGTTATTTGTCACAAATATGTGTTGGTCTCCAAATTATCCTCTTTAATTATGTGCATTAGATGATTAGAATCATCTATTGGTGGGAACCTCTTACAATTAATAGGGATATTTTGAGAGAAAGATGTGAGACAAAGTGAATCAAAATCATATATTTAAGACCAATTTCAACCATAAACTAATTCTTATATTAAAGACCAGAAATAATACTTCGTCAAAACAAAGAAAAGCTTCTTTTTTTTTTTAAATAAGTCGGAAACAAAGAGGACTATCTAACTACAAAATTAAGAAAATTCAGAAGGGAGGAAGGTCCTAAAACTTGGGGGCTATTAAGAGCTCTCTTAGCAAGAGCATCCGCATCACTGTTGTTCTCAAGGCAAAACAAAGAAAAACATTAATTGTCATTACCTTTCTCTTTAGAATTCAATATTTTTTTAACACTTTACCTCTATTTAATATATATACTTTAAAAATCCAAGAAAATGATGGTGACAATAAATTATGTAGGGATGTTTAGCACTGACCCGTCCCGGTCGACCTGTTCCGGTCTCGGCCTTATTGAGACGGGACGGGCCCATCCCGAAACTTTTTAGAGTGGGACAAACTGGGACAGGACAAAATAAGAGACTGGGACAGGATGGGACATAGAACGGGATCGTCTCGTCTCGGTCCATTTTATTCTTTAATTTTTTAATCATATTTATATAATATCATTTTTTTTTAAGATTTGAGACTATTGTATAGAACTATAGACCTATTTATTTAGAGCTTTTATATTTGTTGATAATTTAAGAGTATTGATTATTAGAATTTCTAACAGGTTTTTATTGTGTTCAAAGCTTTTATTAGAGTTTTTAATGACTATTATATATAATATTTTAGGCTTTTGTTTAAGGGTGCCCAAAGAAATGAAAAAGAAAACAAAAAGATATTTTTACAAGAGCTAAGTCCAAAAAACTACAATTAGAAAAAAAAAATCAGATTTTATTATGCTCAACAACTCAAAAAAAAAAATCTGGACATCCCGGGACGGGACGGGACACGAGACAACAAAGTTGTCCAATTACTGTTCATCAGGATAGAACTAGGACAGGCCTGTCCCGATCCCGATCCGTCCTGTGAACAGCCCTAAAATTATGAGTTAAATTATATATTCATGTAATATTATTAATAAAGTGACTTATATTAAAGATAGACAAAAAAAATACTCTTCTTGCCCTATAATAAATAGGACTGGAAGAGAGTATTTCATATATTAAAATTAATTATCGTATATATGTAATATATATTGAATCAAATATAACTATGATATCAATCTTAATTAATGTCATGGTTATATATGTGCAGGCTGTGTGTCACAATTGGTCAGATGAAAATAGCATAAGGGTGTTGAAGAAATGTCATGAAGCATTACCAGAAAAAGGGAAGGTGATAGTGATGGAGTTTATAATGCCTGAAGAAAATAGGGCAACAAAAGAAGCCAAGTATGTATCAATCTTGGACAATCTCATGTTCCTTCATGACGGAAGAGAAAGAACTGAGAAAGAGTTTGAGTCTCTTTGCAGAAATTCTGGATTTTCAGGCTTCAAGGTTGCTTGTCGTGCTTTTTCTGCTTTAGGAGTCATGGAATTTTGCAAATAAAATGTCAACTAGATATGGATATATTCCATCACAAGTGCCATGCTATTTGGCAAACAAATGTGGCGATATGGATTTTGTGTTTTACGGGTGTGGATGGATCAATTGTTAATTAATCATCTATGGAAAAAATAAAAATAATTTGATTAATTTAATGTAATAAGTCAAAGGTGGTGTGGGGGAATTTGCTGAACTTCTATTTGTAAACCGTTTTGTTCCTTCAAGTAAGAGCAAAAATACATCTTAAAGAAAAATTAAGGTTTTTAAAAAATATGAAAAAGTTAGTTCAAGGCATACCACTTAATTAAATGATTTTCATAATTAACATAAGAGAAGGGAAAATTGTGATCTTATACCACTCATTCCCTTCTTGCAAGATTGACAAGAGTTGGGCATCCCAATTTACAAGACGAAATACAAAAGGTAAGGTTCAATATCATGATCTGATTTTTCATATCTACCTGACATTTCGATTTTTTTTTATAGTACATCTAGCTCGCTAATCATATTTTTTTTTAATATATTTAGCACCTCAATATTATTTTTTAGTTATATTCAATATTCTAATTTTTGAGGTATTAGATGTACTAAAAATAAGATTAGAGTGCCTCATACACAAAAAAAAAAAAAAAGACTTGGATGTTGATTGTACTTGAGATATAAGATGAGGGTGTTGGATGTATATTTTTTCTTTATAAAATCTAAATAGTTAATACTCTTTTTCTAAAAATGTACTTTAAATATGTTGGACTTAACATAATCCAACCTTGGTGGATGAGATTTAAGCTTATAAGATTTGGGGTCTAAAATATAATAAACTAAAGACTAACTAAGGGTTCTACTTATAAAAAATCCTTTTGTCTTTTAGAGGGAACGGTTTTATGTTCAGTTTTCAAGAGAAAAACTGAATAAGTATGATGTATACGTGGGTGTGAAACACTCTTCACAGACTTGGAAGTTTTTTCCTCTCCAACTCTCCTCTCTCCCAATTCTCTCATTCTTTCATAAAAAATGTACTTGTTGTATAACAATAATCCGACTCTATCTATGTGATCGGATTTCATGTGGATACCGGAAATATTGATCTACATTTCAAGTACACCAGGTTCTCACAAAAAGTGATGTTTTTAATCGGACCGTTTTGCTCCCAATTTATGAGACTGTTTTGCTGCCACTGTGCGAACCAGTGTTCGGACCGAAGTGGAAGAGTCAGATATGGACATGAAGGACGGGCTTACAGCATTGAGCTCTGGTGAGTGAAGAAATGAGGCAGCGAAGAAATATTGGCAGATGAGCAAATTAAACGGTGTGAGGAGCAAATATTTCTTTCTCCCTTCCTTTGCCTAATTCATTTCATTTCTCTGCAATTTCTTTCCCTGCTGTGGTTCATCCTCTCCAGTCTCCACCCTTTCTTTTGTTCAAATTGTATAAAAAAAAGTCTTGGTAGAGCTGATATGGAAGCACTCTTTGCCACATCAGATGTAGTTATAAATGATAAGGATATTACTATCTCCCTCTTAGTTATAAGAACTCGTTTATAATCTACAAATTTAAATTATTTTGGTCTCTCAAGTTTGCTTTCATTTTAATTTTGATTCTTCAAATTTCAAACCATAGATTTTGATCCCTTTAATTTTTTTTATTTATAATATTGGTCCTTATAATTCAATAAAGTTTAGACTATTTTGCCTTTTAAGGAATTAAAACCAAAATGAGGACAAACTTAAAGGATTAAAGATTATATTAACCTTAATATAAAAAACAAAAAGACAAGAGATTAAATCATAAGCGAGTCAAGAATTCAAAAATTGAATCACACTGTGGTTGAGAAATTAAATTATAAATGAGTTCAAAGTTAAGGGACTATGTGGCTAGCACTAAAGCCCACTCAGGAAGTCTACAATATGAGGCGATTAGTCAATAGTACTGGCAATGAATATCTTGTGCTCAACCAAAAAAAAGTTAAATGATTAAAACATTAATTTTTCTTATTGTTTAATTGAATAATTTTAGAATGGCAAAATCATTTTGCAGATATATATATTTTCAATTTTTAATTTGGTGCCAGTGTCTTTTTTTCCTTCGTTAAATCCTCTAATTTTTCTTTGTCAGCACTATTATTAGCCTTTACAATTTTAATATGTTAATACTGTTAGCCAATTTTACTAATTGAATAAAATTACATACATTTGCAAAATATTATATTAGGCATCACTTTCTCCTCTCTCATTTTTAACTCTTAGATGCCTCAATTAAGAAATAATAATTTCAGGGTTCTTTTTCTAAAATTTTTCCAAATTTTTATTATTTTTACCTTATTTAATAAAGATAAATTGGATATATTCGTAAGATCTTTTTAAATTCAAAATTATTTTGAAGAATTGAAAATTTCAGAAAAATATCTAGGAATTTTTAATATGGGTAGAGGTTTATTCAGCACCATAATTTTATTTTGTAGATAAATTTATCTTTTTTTTAAGTTGCATCTGGAATCATAATTTTTAGAATAACGAATGAATTATCAGTAAGATTAAGATCCTGAATGCCAAAAAAAAAAAGAAGGTGCTGGATGGTTAAAAAAACAAAAAAAAGGATTAGGTTCCAAATACATTTTCACCCTTTTAATATTTACAAAATCCAAAATTGAAGGACATACAGACATTAAAAAAAAGTTTAAAAAAAACAAAAAAAGAACCGTCACTGCAAGAAAGATTCTGGAGGGACCCATCGCACCTCCACAGGAGTAGGAGGCTGCCTGCCTTTGCCGGCCACCGGCGAAATCTCTCAGCGACGACGGTCACTTCGAGCGGCTTTCCGGTAACGTTTTTGTTTCTCTATTTGGTATTGTTCCACTCGACCAAACCCCCTACTTCCCGAAGGCATGCTCATTACACATATTCTCCATAACCACTTTCTTCTTTCGCACTCTCTTGCTTCTTCTTTCGATTTCTCTGCTGCCGGGGGCTGTCTTTTGCTTTCTCTTGTCCATTTCTTACATTTGTTTGCTTTGCCCTTCCCCCTTCGTCGTCGCAGCCAAATCGGAACTGTCTTTTTCGGTTTCACCGTTGTCTGTTCTTTCTTATTTTTACTGTAGAAGTCTCACACACTGTTTTGCTTTTATTTCTTTTTTGTCTGTTCTTGTGATTGCTTAATGGTCCCGCATGATATAGACTGCAATTTTTTCCCACGAGAATCTTTTGTTAGAAGATGGTTGCCAAGCACAAAAATGCGTTCAATTCCACAAGTGACAAGTGAAAGGAATTCGAGGGGAAAAACCAAATCACGTAGCTCTGAATAACTTGATGCTATTAAATGTGTCCAGACTATTGCATAATATGGTTTGTTTGAATTGACCTACCAGTAAGGTGTAACTTGGGCCCACCTGAGAATTAACAAATGCATCAATTGGATAAAGAGATTCTGTATGTTGATTACTGCTAGCTGTCTGACCCATGCTGTTCAGTTTTTTTATGTGTAGTATGTGGCATTGGAGATCGAAATATTAACGGTCTGTCACATTTCTTTTGGCCTTCCTGTTTTATTAAATTTAACTTATGACGTAAAGGGAAAATGTAATGTCTAGAAACATGAGAATAAAATCAGTAACTAGGCGGGCTCAAGTGTCATGATTGGAGATGAGAGGGGAGGGGGAAAGTTGAAGACAAACTTTGAACAAAGGAACTGAGCCCCAAGTGTCCCATGATTCGTGTACTTTTGAAGTTTACGGTGGAAACAACTTTCGTGTGCGTGCATATAAGTGTGATTATAAAATCTTAAATCATATCACGGTTACTTGTTCTTATTTAATTTATTGAGCAGTGGAAGAAGATTTCTTGTATAGATCAATTTTCTTATATGGTTGGGTTGATCTGCCCATTGCTTATTTACTTGCCCAGTTTTACTTCGACAGTAACAGATAGCGTGTCACGTCTTGGATTAATAAATTGTTTTACGCTGTCATGATTTTAATATTTTGTTATGTCTTATGCTGATAAGAAATGAAAGAGAAATCTAAATCTGCTGATGGACATCTATGAGCTACCCTGTATCTGATATGGCTTGCATTGCTAATGGGACAGGATGTCAAGAAAATAATTCCATTGTCTGGTTCGAAAGGTTTTTTGTTTTTTCCCTTTTCCTTTGGGAACTGCATAGCCTGTGATTGCCCTAACTTTGAAACTTGATTGTTCTCAGGTTCTTTCACTGTAATAAATGGGGTCTTCGGCAGAAGAAGAATATGCTGCATTCCTAGAGAAGGTTGAACGGACGATTTACTTTGACAACCTATCACCACAGGCTACTGAGTCTGTTTTGAGAACTGGCATTGATCAGTTTGCAACTGTCAAAAGTGTCAAGTTTATTTGCAACTACAATGAACCAAGGGACATGCCAATGTGTGCATTAGTGGAATTGGATTCTGCTTCTAAAGCCAAAGAAGTTATATCATTGATATCGCAACGTCCTTTCATGATGTGTGGGATGCCTAGGCCTGTAAGGGCACGCCAAGCTGAAGTGGAAATGTTCGATGATCGCCCCAGGAAGCCAGGCAGAAAGATAGACTGCCAATGGTTGAAGCCTGATGACCCTGATTTTAAGGTGGCACAGGAACTGAAGCGGCTTACACACAAACATACTGCTGAAGCTGCGTGCCTCATGGAAGTGAGTTCATTCCAGTAATTTATCATATTTATAGTTCTTATTACTGCTATAAACTCACTAATTCAGGCAATGACAGAATTAGCCTATAGGAGTAAATGTCAAGAGTCTCTTATTTACCAAATTATTTGCGTATCACATGTCATTGACATTTAGGATAGTTTTCTAGTTTTTCTCTAAATTCTCTCTTATGTCAACGCCTAATATATTATACTGGTGTCCCATTTGTTTAAACTAGTTTCTTTGTTTATGGAGCTGTCATCAATAACTGATTACTGCTGGATGATTGTTTCAATTAATTTCGAGCTTATGGGAACTGTCACTGGAGATGGCGAAGTAACATGTGATTTTTAGGGTAGTTATATATAATTTTACGCAACCCTTCTGTTGTATGTATGGGAGTCTTAGAGTAATTGACATGATATAAAATTTCATGTACTAAATTGGAAGCAGTAGAAATTCCAGGATGGAAAGAATTCTCGAACATTAACAAAATCTTCTGGAAACATAGTATTCTTGTTCCCTGAGAATTTAGAATAAAATAAAAATATTTGATACAATGGTTGATTTGGTGCCCATTCTACAGGAACCTTTAATACTCATACTAACTGTACTCAAAAGTCAAAACACGATACCAGCATCACCAACTTCTTCTGTCATTGTGTTGACTGCTATTATCTTTAGTTGCTTTGGCCTTTGATTCAAGGGACAGCACTAGCTCATGTCATGCAATGCCAAATATGTTCCATTTAGTCCCATCTTCCCCCTGATGAGAGAATGTGATTGAAAGAGAAACATATCTGTATGAGAGTTGAAGAGTTCATGCCTTTTTTAATGGCATTGGGTTAACTTATGTTTTTTTGGCTGAGGACTAAATCGTACATTTGGACGATCTCAAAAACCTGCAGTATCCTTTCTACAACGTCAAAGAGATGCTTTAACCTGTGGCTGGATAATAGCTGTTATAAATGTGCATGCAAAATATTTATAGTGATCGAGAAACAAAATATTCTAAAGCAGGTTTCATTTTATAGCTACAGCTACAAGAAGAAGAGGAGCTTCATAAGCAGCAGACAGCCACACTAAAGGGATACTATGATAAGTTGAAGAAAATTGAAAGCGTTATGGCTGATGGAACTGCCCGTCGTTTGGCACGCAAGTATAATCTGCATCTTCCAGATGACTGAAGGAGTTTTAATAGTTTTCTATTTTTAGCTTTAGAGTATCTCCCTATAAATCTAAGTAACAAATCTCATATAGGTTCTTAGCACGCAATTACATGTTATATCGTAACTTGTGTCAAACATCCGTTTATATTGCCTCGCATTAGTGTATAGAATGATGATGAGACGATATTTTGAGAAGGATAATATGATATAGAACTGCTGTTGCATATAAATTCTTGTTTCAGCTTTCTCAGTTTATTGAGATTGAATTTTTGACAAGAATAATTGTTCTTGTAGTCTACTGCCTCTGCAATATGAAACATCTACAAGCCAAAAACTTGACCATAATCACTCAATCTGTATTCTATGTTTTGGAGACCAACTGTAAATAAATTTGAACTATCATCTGTCTGTATAGTTACCCCTATTATCCCTCAATAGTTTGTCTTCACTTTCAATTGGTAATAGCTGCAAAAAGCAGCTCATTCCAGATATCTGTCAGCCCCGCAACACACCAATGGGTACAGTCCATGGCTTTGAATCCATTGTAATAACTAGGGTGTGCATCTTTTCTCAGCTGTGACAGAGTTGTTATGTTAAGGAAATGAACAGGTTTTGTTATTGTCTTCAACACATCCATCACTACAAATGCTGCTGGAGGCAAACCACCGGGGTAAGTTGATCCACTCATTGGCTCTGTTTCCTTTGCACAGTTTGTCTCTTCTGGGTGATCCCACTCTGATCCACTATGTTATGTGTCGCATATTTAGCTTAAGTTAGTATGTTGCTTAAAACTGAACTTGCAGCTTTGAAGTAGGTTTATAACAAGAAGTCATGTGAAACTTACTTGTAATGAGAAGGTGAAACTCCTTGATAAAGAACTTTGGTTTTGGTTGTATCTACCTCTGCATTCACCCAATTAGCCCAAGTTGTCAGGCCCTTCTGAAATGCAGCCATGCGATCCATGTCCTTGAGTGTCTTGCCATCCACTTGAATGTAATCCCATCTGCATCAGAAAATGTCCATATTATTCTTATTTTTTGCATGCTGACATAGATTATGTATTTTTTCAACTTCTGGAATTTTGAAGTTATCTGTTTTTTTGGCAAGGTGTGTTTGGAAGCACCTCTCCCCCCCCCCCCGGGCGGGGACCCGGGGTTCGAACCCAGTTAAAAAAAGCAAACTCAAAGTTGATAAAGAGAGATGTGCCTTGTACTCAAATCCTCTTTTAGCAGTCATAGTCTAATGGTGTATTGAGTTATATAGGAGTTTGTAGAATCATACGGTTGCTTTGGGCCTCTACGGTACCACCAGTGCCAAGTGTTGAAGACCAAAACGTCCATGTTCTTCCATATATCTCCATTCTTGAGTGAGTCAAGCTTTAAGACTCGACCAATCTGCTCCTCTTCAATGTCAACCAAGTACAGAGAATGAAACACACTAACAGAAACACCATATTCCTGCAGGAGGAGCCCCAGTTGCTTGAAATTTTAACGTAATAACTCTGACCCACAAACATAAATGACAATTCTGATTCATCAATATGTGGTAATTCTTGCAATTTCGTAGTTCTTAAAGATAAGGTAAATCATGCAAATATCCTTGAAGTGTTGTTGAAATTACGCATACCCCCTCTTTGATTTTGAAATACATACAAACTTACATTAAAAATAAAAGAAAGGTCTGTGTAATTTCAACAAAACTTAAACGAGGCCATGTAAGTTATGCCTGTTTTTCAGTGAAAATTTGCATAGGTTTTGAAAATAGAAATAAGTTCTGACCTTATAGCAAAACTCGGGATAAGCCACAGTTAAGTTATATATTTAGGCTTTAAGAGAGATTTGCATAAGTTTGAATATAGAAAAGAAGTGGATGGAATTTTCATATATAGAATGTATCTAAGTGTGAAAATAGCTCGGGAACCTGGAAAGTAACGTTAGTGATAGGTTCATTGGTCTGCTCGAGTGTTGCTGATTGAGGTACTGCAGAATGAAGCAAGCACACTAGTGATTGCCACTGGTTTAGACTCAGTGAGTCACCAATGAACATTATGTTCTTCCCCTTCATTTGCTCCAAGAAGCTTTTCCCATCAAATCTGTAACATCAGTATTTTTTTTTCAATTAACAAACAAAATGTTCATGCATCTGTGACTACATTTTAATTCAAATCTTCCACAGATTCCTGATTACAAGTTGCAGCTGGAGGTTTCATCGTTAACGAAATTATTTTGGGTTGAGGTTGGGTAGTTAATGTTAAACATGCATCTACACAATCTCATTAGTCCATACACGTGTGTGTTGTCAAAGGACAACGCTTAAATTAAATTGCTCATATCTATTAGGTCAAATTCACCAAGTATACATAGGCACTTTAACAACTAAGAATAGCAAAACAAGTGTGGTTGGAGAACTTAACTTATTAGTTATAAGTAATTTGACCTAAGTTTTATGCATTGTTAGAACATATAATAAATTTACATGTGATGAATAGCAAGAGCCTTTGGTTTGCAAGGACCACAGTTTTGTTCTGTTCAGAACGTGAAGAAGATAGGTTTTGTTGTTATTAGTTGTACAAGTTGTTCACGTCTCAAGATAAGTAACAGTGTTGACAAAGTGGCTCTGTTAGTTGTGTTATTTAAAACAAAAGGCAATTTGGTTGGTCATGATTTAGTAGAGTTTACATGGTTTGATGAGCATGAAATAAAGAAGCTCCACCAATCCTACCTAATTTGACTTAAATTGCACCGTATCTTTTTGAATTTTTGTAGATAATATTTTGTCCTTTACTACTTTTTTCACAAAAAATTTACATAAAAAATGTATAAAAAGTCATACTATCCATAAAAATTGCAACTTACCTTGGACTCTTAGTGAAATATGCGTCTGCGATATATTCATATAATCTTTTGAAGGGCTCTAATAGTAAGATACTAACTTATGTTAGATAAGTTACTATAAAAGTACTACCTCTGGTCCTAATTATAAGACCCAGTTGACTAATTTGAGGAGATAAGGAAAGAAGTTAAGTTAGTTATTTGTAATAAATAGGTATCGTCTTTTCTAAAATATCCTTACTAATCAACTATATTGGCTATGACTATAATTATTAGAAGGACTATCTTGGAAAAAAATACATAAATATGAGAGACAAAGTGGATAGGGGTCTTATATTTAGGACCAAATAAAGTCAAATAGGGTCTTATATTAAGGACCGGAGGTAGTATATAGTAAAACATATAATTTATAAATAGTACTCTATTCGGTTTTAAACATGAAGTATATTTCAAATAATCACCTTAACTATGGTTTTTTCGAAAAATTTTTACGAATTAGTTTAAAATAACATTATATTTTAAAAAATAATTTATGATTAAATCTTAAAGGAAAAAAGATTATGAAATTCTAAATTTCCAATAGTTTTCTGCAATTTATTTAACATAATGTGTGTGACCAACAAAAGTTGTTTCAATTGGTAAAGAGTCGACTTATAATCTATGAAGTTATGAGTTTGAATCTCGTTGCTGATATAAAAATTTTGTTAGTAATAATCTGTAAGTATCAAGCTTGGAGGTATATTCTGATCTTAATAAATCCTCAGACTCAAATCATCTAAATTTTTTTTTAAAAAGAAAATGTATGTAATCACACACCATGTGACCAGGCTTTTATGCAGGCATATTTGGATTGTGGGTCCCACAAAGATTCATTCAATTTTGTTCCTATATTAGACTTTGGAGTTGTTGTCTTCCTATCGTGTGCGTGCGTGTGTGTGTGAGTGTGTGAGGTGTGAGAATGTTGGGGAAGCATGTGAACCTAATCTTTATGGTCCTTTAGCGTATAAAGCCGAACACGTGATACAGCCAAAGCATGTCCCAAGCAGAAAACTTTTTTGTCACGGGGCGATTTATATATATATATATATATATATATAAATTTGTTTAAATTAGTTACACTGATTTGTAAATAAATTATCAAATTTTATATTTTATATTACTAATGATTATATTGGTAATTACTAGCACAGGCTATTATTGATTATAGCACCAAACTACGAAAAAGTGGGGTTCACATGATATGAATTTGCAATTCCAAGTGTCAACTAACCTCTCTCTATGTCATACTGTGGTCAACAAATTAATAATTGTCTCCAACTTCCCTCCTTTTTTTTTTAATTTCTTTAAATTCATATCATAACTGTTTTTTAAACATATAATCATATTATTATTTACCCTCTAAAGCCAATGTATCTATTTTTTTTTATATACTATACTTTTTTGGGCCAATTAATACCTTCTTTTTTTTTTTGCGAGAATCATAGGATTTAGCAATTTAAAGTGTTTTTTTTGCGAGATTTTCCAATGGGACAACCATATATACGAATTAAATTTCAATCTCAGAAATAAAAGAATGGACAGAGAATTACAAATAAACTGGGTCTATTTGAACTTTAAAATGTTTTTATAATAATTAAAAAATATTCAAAGTAAATCCTCAAAATAATTAAAAGCATTGTAATTTTTTAAAAAGCATTTTTAAAACAATAAATAAAGAAAAGAAAAGAGATAAAGAGATAACAGAAAGGAAGTTGTTTTGTTTGATAATGGCGGTTACCTGGGCAAGTCGCAGTGGGAGGGTTGCCACCGGAAACTGAGATAGAACCGATCGGGGCGGCCATACTTGAAGCAGTCGAACTCTTTGCGAATGTGAGAGCACTTGGACGAATCATACAGAGGGTACGATTCATCCTTCACCCATTCTCCTTCATACCTATCACACGACGGCGACTGCGACGGCGATGAAGATGAAGAAGACGGTCTTCTTCGCCATTGATTCTTCAGCTTCTCGCTGCTTCCACTTCCAGACTGATGATGATGATGATGAAGAACAACTCCACCACCTTCTTCAGTAGTTCTCTCCGATAATGATAATGGCCACACCCAAATGAGCCCAATCAACCCCACAATCAAAATGCTTGTTCTTCTTTCACTGCCCATCTCTCTCTCTCTCTGCCCCCCCCCCCTCTCTCTCTCTGTGCTGGGAATTGAGAGAGATTTATAAGCTTTCTTGTTCCACAGCCAGTGGTTAGCTTAGCTGTCTGTGTATATATAAATGTCAGAGTTTGACTCTTTATGTCAAGTTTTGGGCTATTATTCATTCCAAAATTTATTGTTGAAGATATTACTAATTAATTCATTAATTAACATTATGCTAATTAAATCTCAAGCAGTGTGCCTGCCTAATGAGAATTTATTTATTTATTTATTTATTTTCTTTTTGGGGAATGCATCATTTCCCTAAATTAATTTAGTTGTCTTAACTAACTTAGACACTTTTTTATTCGAATTTTTATTTTGCTTTCATTTAAAAATAAAAGATCGATGCAGGCTAGGATTAAAGGAACTACGTAATAGGATGAAAAAGAAAAGGAGACTAATTTTTAATCTCTCCATTTAGTGCAATAAGGCATAATTTTTAAGGTTTTATGTTTCAATTTCTCAGATATTTAGCAAATGTTCATTGTTGTGTTTATCCCAAAAATCCCTATGAAAAATAAGATAATTACCCTCTCATTCATTTGGTTCCTTCCCATAAGGCTATGCGTATACTTAAAAAACATCGAAATATTTACTTTTAAGAACATTAACCAATTACTTGTTCCTTGAAATATACCTACTTTTAAGAAGATTAATTTATCAGTTACTTGTTCCGTTGCTTATAGTTTCTAAAAGAAATTATATTTTTAAAAAAATTGTTTCTATTCAATGTTCAATGCAATTTTTTTGCCCCTCCGTATGATGTCATGTATGGTTTTAAAAAAGGATAAATTTAGAATTTTTTTCATTTTCAAATAGATTTAATAATTTAATCATTTTTCTTTGATTTTTAGTGCGGTTGTCCATAAGAGGAACCAACCAGAAGAAGTATATTGCTCAATGGTAGTTAAAGATGCCTTAAATATAAATGAAGGAGTATCTAATACGTGATTTTTGAGAAGGTAACCATAGGTTAAGGTTGATTTAGTGTAAAATTCACATCTCAATACTTGGATTTCAAGAGTGTTTCACAAATTTTTCCACCTGATGAACTCCACTTTAAGTGAAAAGAATAATTTTCAAAAACTTATGAATCAATTTAAATAAAAAAAATGTCATTTCCTAACATTTTCACAGCTTGTGAGATATGATATGATTGGTGATCAAGGGTCAAACTATAATTTTTTTCTGCAAAAAAAAAAAAAGAAGAACAAAACTACATCACTTTTCTTTTTAAAGTTAATATGCATGCTTTGATTTAAAATAATTTAAAGCCAATAATACAAGATACATACATTCATACATCCATCAGAGTTTAACATAAAGATTCCATCCTAAAGTTCATACCTATATGAAGTTCGTGGCCCTTGATTCATTCAAGCTTGCAATGCTTTATTCTCTTCGAAGTTTTAAACTCTTCTTGGATCATTATTTCTTTATATTTTTGTTCTCCATATCCATGAGTGATTCGTGGTTGCATAACGATATTTAATTTCTTCCTCTTTATGTCCACTCTCGTCTTTGCTTTGGACAACCTTCAATGATATATGTTCTGCATGCAAATTAAGCGTTTACGCCAAAGTATGAATATGCGTAAGAGTTATAAGTCTTATACTCTTTTAGTCCTTAATATATATATATATATATATATATAGGACATAACTGGAGAGTTGATATTGATCCTATTGTAAGACCTATTTTCTCAGTTTATCAATTTTTTTATTGAATTAATCATATTGATATTCTCCCAATAATAATCAAGTATGATAAGGAGAGAGGGGATTAAGAAAGATGCTTATAGTGTTTTAAAAAATATATACTCCTCCGGTCCTAATTATAAGACCTAATTGACTTATTTGAGGAGATTAAGGAAGTAAGTTAAGTTGATTATTTATAATAAATAAGTGTTGTTATTCTTAAAATATCCTTGCTAATTAAGTATATTGGCTAAAACTATCATTATTAGAAGGATTATCTTTGAAAAAAATGCATAAATATAAGAGATAAAATGGATTGGGTCTTATAATTAGGACCAAATAAAAAGTCAAATTGGGTCTTATAATAAGGACCAGAGGAGTATTATATTAACTAATTTAACTAACACTCTTAATCTATTTAAATTAATTAATTAGGTCTTATAAGAGGAGTACTTTGTATGTATTCAAGCATTTTTAAGATCAAAACGTTATGAAGAAATGTGATTTTGATGATGTATAACAGAAGTTTTATGTAATTAAATAATTTCTCATATATGTATATATAATATGAAATAATATGGGCAAAAACACTTTAAAGCACTTGTTTCATAGTTGTACTTAAGTAACTGTCCGTCTGTTTTTCATATGGTATTTTTAATGAATTTTCACATACCAAGAAATGACTTTTTTTTCTTTTTACCAGGATACCAAGAAATGACATTGTCTTAAATTAATGAATTTTTTTTTCAATTTTGCCTCTCTTTAAATGATACAACTTTGAACTTCAATTAATAATAAGAGTAAAATGAAGAGAAAAATAATTAATGAGATAGTTGATGATTTACATTGGAAAACAAAAATTGCCTTTAAAAGATGCTCCTATAATAGGGAGTAGGGACCATCTGAAAACGTTATTGTAAAAACTTATATAATGTTAAATATATTTTTATTTTATTTTTTTGACCAGGAAATATAATTTTATTCAATATTATCCCACCGGCCAAAAAAATAGTAACCCCATTATATAAAATTTATTCATAATGATAAAATTGGTGGCAAGCATATACGGCAGAGGTAAATTAAATTTAAAATGCAAAAACACACACAGACACAAACACACAAGAAGTTGGATGCAAAGACAAAAGGAGGGGAAAAAATAAAGAGAAGAAAAGCAAACGTTAATAAAGTATGAAATAGATGTTTCATAAAAAAAGAGTATGAAATTGAAATAGATGTGCGAACAAAAAAGGTTATATTGATGCATAGGAGAAAATGATGGGAGAGCTCATAATATCCCCATTAATGGCCGCAACTTGATATCTTTGATAGGGGTGTGAGTATGACTAGAGCAGTACTTTCATAGGTTTATGAAAGATACTTTTGTAATTTTGTTATTTAGTTCAAGTAATTATATTCCATCACTAATCTTCTAATTTGAGATTAGGTAAAATAAGGTGTAGATTCGCCGTAAATAGTTTAGAAGATGATTTTGTTTGGACCAGAAAAGAGAGGATACCTTGGGCAATAATGAGGATATACACACACAAACCCAATTCTAAATATATGATCTAGGTAGAAAGATGATTTTGATCCTAAATATGAAAAAAAATTAATCCATTTTATCTATAATATTTATCACTTATTTTCAAACTAATTTAGCTGACTTATCAATAAATTACAGAAATATCCCCCTCTATTTTGAAAAAATATATAAACTTCTCTTGAAATTAAAATGTGTGTTACACAAACAACCTTTATATATTTGAGGTTTCATTTTCATCTATCTAATCGTTAGTTGACCTTTAAGATTGACATTTAAAATATTTTTTTTTATCAAAATACACTTTCTTAACATAAAAGTTATTTAAACATTTATATTTGTCAAAAAATAATTTTTGACACAACAAAAAAATTTGTAAATTTTCAAAATTTTTAAAATGTAATAAAATTTATTAATTTTGATTGCAGTATGAAATTGTATAATTTTAATTCTTCATCACATATAACCACACTTATTTGTTACGTTTCTTTAAATGGCTAGAAAATAAAATGAATACATTTTTTTATCATATAATATAAGTTATCTAAGTTTGAGAAATTATAGAAATCATTTAAATTTATAATTTAAATTTCTAAATAAAAAATTTGTTTGGAACATTTATAACTTATTTAGTCAATTATATATTTACTTAAAGAAATAACAAAATTTTCATTCAAGATTTTTTTGTCTATATTAACTAAATTACTTTATCTTCTATCCCAGTATCATAAAAACATTAAGCAAATAACTATTTGCAAAAAATAAACAATAAAGTTAAGGAAACAGAAAAAATTTAAATTCTTTAAAACTTTTTAACCAAAATTTAGGGAATTAGATTATGAAGAGTAAACTGATAAATAAAAATTATTTTAATATAAATTTTAATTAAAAATGTGTCTTTTTAGAATATTCTTAATAAAATTAATGATTTGGACTTAAATATATGTTTTTAAAATAGAAGAAAGATTCATGTAATTAGAGCAAAATGTAAGGAAGGTCAAAATATTTTACTCATAATTTATTGTTCCACAGGGATTTTTGAAAAAAATTATGTCACATTTATAAGACTTAAAAAACTTATTCAACTTTCTTATATCTAGATTAATTAAGTAACCCTTACAATCAAATGAATATATGAACTTGATGTCATATTTTAACTCAAAGAAGTGAACTTCTAATTTGTTCACCTGACTTTATATGATGCTTCTTTTTCTACATCAACTAAAACCATGTCACGTTCACATTTCCAAATATACTCTAGACATTCCATGGCCTCTTAAAATATACTCCCCCTACCCTTGATACCCCCTAATTCTATTTATACAAATTTTTAAATATGTTTTTATCATAAGTAAGAAAAATTTTAAAACTATCAACTTTATCTTAAAATATAATAACTTTTTAACTTTATATGTATTCTATACTTTAATTGCTTATCCCCGGAGGATACATTATATGTATAGCATTAGTTATAAATAAGAACAAAAAAAGACCCTTTCTCTTTGTCTTCTAAATAGGATATCAAGGGAGTATAAGAGTATAAGACATCTTCTAGAAAGTTTTTATTGTCCTAAATGTTAGATGATTTAATTTGCAAAAATAGTTAATAGCATTAAATAATTCTTCTTTTTCACAAATGCCCTTATTAACCGCAAGGTAGACCGTGGCAATATAAGAAATACAATTAAAACTAGTAATTAAGATAGATTGATTTTAATTGGAGGTAATCAGAGAAAGAAATAATGATTTTTTGCC